TCCTCCAGTTTTAGCCTCATTTTATTTCCCTTCCAGAAGGAAGAGTTCCTCAGCCTTCGGGTTCTTCATGATCACAACTGGGTAGTTCCTGAGGTTCCCTTTCTGCTGCCCTAGGATTCAGTCTTCTTGGAGGCATTTCCTCTTTTTAAAAAATATAAAGTTTAATGATTTTTTTACAGAGAGGGAGAGGGGTAGGGAGTTGAGAGAAACATCGATCAGCTGCCTCCTGTACGCCCCCTACTGGGGATGTGCCCACACCAAGGTACATGCCTTTGACCGGAATCAAACCTGAGACCCTTCAGTGTGCAGGCCGATGCTCTATCCACTGAGCCACACCAGTCAGGGCTCTTGGAGGCATTTCTAATTTAATCGCTAATTCAATTACAGCATCCAGCATTTTGTTGCTGTGATGTCTCTGTCTTCATCCTCTTGGGCTGACACCATCACAATCTCTTTCGTGTCACACAGGTGGGTACTTAGGAGCATGCAAATGTGTGTGTTCAGCCCACTGCCAGAGCTATGCTGATGTGCAAATTCCTTAAAATTAAAGCGCCAATAGCTTGAAACCCAGCGATCACACCCATAGCCAAGTTTCTTACGCTTTGGGTCATAAAGCATCTTTTAAATGCATCCTCTCCTTGGAAACTGATGACAACTCTGTAATGATATTCTTTCTTTGAGAGAAATGAAAGAAGAAGAGGCTCACACTTTATCTAAAGCAGAGCGGCAGCGTACGGACCAAATCTGGAAGGCCTTCTAAAAAATCAAAGTGATTATAAATGTTAAAAAATCAGGCCTTGCATTAAAAAGTTCAGTTTTCAAAAGCTCTTAGAACAACCAACCAACCAGAAGACGGGGCAGCGGGCACACACTCTCCACGGTGACACATTTGCAGCTGAATCGGTTGCTCCTTTCCCGGGGGCAGCCAGCTCACGCTGCCTCCAGCCAGCTCCTGCTCGCTGCCAGCAGGAGGCGCTTGGATGTGGGACCAGAGGGAGGAAACCATTCACTGTAAACACAAAAGGAACTGTCCTTAAGCGCTCCTCCGGGTCCCACCAGCGCCCACCGTGTCTGTGTTACATGGTTACCCAGAGCCCAGCACACGAGTCACACACAAACCCGCGCGCTGCACACATCGTGTGAACATTTGATTGGTAAACATGTCCAGCCCTACACCAATGTGAGGGGGGGGGGGATGGGAAGAAATGAAGTCACTAAAGCAGCAAAGGGTAGTCTTCCTGGCCGGGCCATCGAGGTGGAATCGATAAGTCCCGACAGCGCTGTGAATGAGGCGGAGGGAAGAGAACATTCAGACGCAATGGTGTTGTTGTTTTTTTCTCTTCTTAGATTAATAAAACCTTAAAAATTCTGTTCTTTATTGATTTTATTTTCTTTTTTTAAAATATATTTTATTGATTTTTTTACAGAGAGGAATTGAGAGGGATAGAGAGTTAGAAATGTCGATGAGAGAGAAACATCGACCAGGTGCCTCATCTATACCTCCTACTGGGGATGTGCCGCAACCGAGGTACATGCCCTTGACCGGAATCGAACCCGGGACCTTTCAGTCCACAGGCCGAGGTTCTATCCACTGAGCCAAACCAGTTTCGGCTTATTGATGGATTTTAGAGATAGGAAGGGAGAAAGAGAGGGAGGGAAACACCCATTTGTCATCTCACTTATCGATACATTCATTGGTTGAGTCTTGTATGTGTCCTGACTAGGGACTGAACCTGCAACCTTGGTGGATTGAGAACCTGCAACCAAGTGAACCACACGGCCAGGGACAAGCCCCTCCCCACTGTCCGACCTGTAGTAAAATGGAAAAGGATAGCACAGTCCAGTTTGAGTTTATGTTTTCCTCTCAAGAGTCCTCTAAATAACAGCAGCTCTCAAAACCCAGCTCCAGTTTGGCGGCTGGCCGGCAGGCACCGCGAAGATTCTGCTTTCAGAATTTCACTTTGTCTGTGACTGGAGGCCCCAGATGACAACCAACCCAACTCTGCTTGTCTAATCTCCCAGACTTCACCTGTTTCTTCATGGAAGATAGTCTGCTGGTTTCCAATTGGGCCGGGTATGTGAGGTGGTGGGGGAGGGGAGACGGGACTGCTGCTGGCTGCACGCTCAGCATTTGTGCCAGCTTTAGAAGGCACAAAACTAGGTGTGTGTGTGTGTGTGTGTGTGTGTGTGTTTAGTTACAGTCAGGTCTTTACTGCCAACTGAGCGCTCCCTCCAACACGGGGAGCAGAAACCTTCCCAGGCCTCAGCCTCGGCTCAGGCGCGGCCAGTGATGTTTTTTTTAGGCGCTCGCTCAGCCTCTTCTACTTCCTTGGCAGCCCTGATAGCTGGTTCTCGTTGATTTCCTAACTTCAGGTTTCCGGTTCCTCTTGGAAGAGATGCACCAGTGATGGCCTCTGGAATCTGACTGCACGGCGGGGTCTTTTCTTTTGAATTTCTTCTGTCCCTTTTGGTGCTTTCTTCTGTAGAGGGCAGCCGCGTTCATCGGCCCAGGATTCCCCTTGGACAGGAATGCCAACTCGCATTTTGCATTAAGAAACTGAAAATCGCCAAAAGCGGTTTGGCTCAGTGGATAGAGCGTCGGCCTGCCCACTGAAGGGTCCCGAGTTCGATTCCGGTCAAGGGCTTGTACCTTGGTTTCGGACACATCCCCGGTAGGGGGTGTGCAAGAGGCAGCTGATCGATGATTCTCTTTCACCAATGTTTCTAACTCTATCCCTCTCTCTTCCTCTCTGTAAAAAATCAATAAAATATTAAAAAAAGAAACTGGAAAACTCCCCGTTGGTCCTGGCATCGCACCTCCCATGTCCGGGGTGGATCCTGTGCCCACTGAAACCACACAGCTCGACCTTCATGGCGGCAGCTGCCCGGGAGCAGGAGAGATAGCGAGAGCACAAAACTAGGTTTCGAAGATCAAGTAAATTCTCCTGCTGGTTCAGAAGTATCTCAACATCCTACCGATGGTTTACTCTCGATGGTCCTGAGAGAAGCATTTGCTGACTCTACCTCCGGGCCGGCCGCCTCCTGGAGGAGCGCCCGTGCTGAGATGCAGGCCTGCGGGCGGAGGCAGGGTGGTGGTACCAGCCACTCCGGGCCCTGCATCGCTCCCTGAGAGCAGTGACCGCCTCCCGGTGCCCACCATCGCCGAGTGCTGCTCTGCGCGCGGTGCGTGAGCCCGGAGGGGAAAACGGAGAGCTTGTGCCCAAAGCTTTCTGCTGTGGGTCTCAGTCAACGACTGGAGCAGAGGTGGGCAAACTACAGCCCAGACAAGCCACCTGGCTTCAAAATAAAGTTTTATTGGAACACCAGACACCCATTTGTTTAATTGTGGCTGCTTCTGCTCCACCACCGCAGAGCTGAGCCTGCAGAGCACGTGGCCTAAAATACTTACTATCCGGCTCTTTACCGACCCCAGGGTTAAAGGGAAACACTAACGCGCAACCAAGAACTGAGAGAAGTGATCAGGGAACAAATGATTTGCAAATGAAGTCTGAGAGAGCAGGGGCTGGCTGAATGAATGAATGACAACCCAGGGGCATGAACTCTGAAGAGGGAAGTAAGCCACAATGAAATCGCTTGGGATGTACATCTAACGTATGCCATGTGACTGCCTGCAGCTGGTTCAAAACAGAAAGCTGCTTCCTGATCTGTGGGAGGAGAGCGACGAGCCCAGCCTCATAGGGACCTGTGACAAGCCCAGTGCCCACGCGGGCAGCCGGGGCGGCGGCAGAGGACCCGGCGGCCCGGCCCTGCGGCTTTTCCGCCCGGCACGCTCCGGCTCCGGAACCAGCCGCAAGAGGCCTCGCTCGCGAGCAGGTCAGAGGGTTGGCGTGTCACACGCTGCTTTAAGCGAATAAAGCAAAGCTCCTTAGTCACCGGGCCTCGTCACAGCCGTCTGCTTCCTCTGCTACTTAAATACCAACTGAAGTCATACTGATACTAATCGAATTCTTTTTATTTTTTAATCCTCACCTGAGGATATTTTTAAGCTGATTTTTAGAGAGTGGAGGGAGGGAAAGAGACAGAGGGAAACATCGACGTGAGAGAAACACATCGACTGGCTGCCTCCCCAAAGTGCCCCAACCTGGCCAAGGACCAAGCCTGCAACCTAGGTGTGTGCCCGCGGCCAGAACCAAAGCCAGCTCCTTGTCTGAGGCTGAGCTCTGTCCACTGAGCAACACCAGCCGGGGCTGAGCCTCTTCCCTGCTCCCCGACAACCGCAGAACCAGCGGCAGAGGTGCTGCTGAGGTGAGTGCGGGGAGAGGCTGGATCCAGGGGCTGGACCGCTGCCGAGAGGACGGAGGCCGGAGCCACACCGGGAGAGGGGAGAGGGCTTCCTGCCAGCGCCGTCCTCCCCATGGAGTGGAGGCCGTGGGCGCCCACCCCGCGGACGGGCGCTCAGAGCAGGACAGGCGCGCACACCGGCCTGTCCGGAAAGCCGTCTGCGGAAACCACGCATAAACACGGGATCTGGCCGTGGTCCAGGAAACCAGCTGAGTATCAGGAAGGAAATAAAACTAGAAAATAAGGGTGCCGTCCGTGTGAGGGCCCCCACGGCCGAAGAGGGCGGTGCTGTCCACCTCACTCCGCGGAGCAGCGCACACGTGCTCCCGTGCTGAGGGAGGCTGAGCATGGGGGGCGTGCACACCATGGAGCGGCCACCCCCACGGAGCTCCCATGCAGCAGCACAGTCCTCCTCCGGCTCGGAACGCGGCTGAAACGCTGGGAGCAAAGTCCAAATGTTCCCAAAAGCACCTTGTTGCATCTTCTGAGGAAACACAGACAACAGAACCTCACATCCCCGTGACGGTCCTCAGGCAGCAGTCTCCAGCCCCAGCACCGCCCGGGACAGCTGTGTCTGCCGACAGGTCCAAGAACGTGCACAAAAGCGGGTGCGCCACGCACTGGAAATGCCCGCGTGGCCGCGGCATAGGGCGGGTCTTCCTCCATCCCTGTGCAGACCGGCCAGTGCGTCCCATGAGCTACTGCTCCATCTGTGCCCAGGCCTCCTCCGCCTTCTCGTAGTACTGGCTGGCCAGCCGACCCTTCATGGCCTCCATCGCTGCCTCGGCCGCCTGGGTGTACAAGTCGCCTGAAAGACAGCAAAGGGGCCTCACACAGCTGAGCCAGCCCAGGACCCCCCACCTCCCCGGGAACTGCACCCCAATACCACCAATTCCCCCTCCCTCCACACGATCTGGGTGGGGCTCTGGCCCGGACGGGGTCACAGCCAATCAGAGCAGCCAGCTCAGTGAGTACCAGGACTGGCATAGAGGGTAAGGGGGGCGGGTGCTTCCGTCTGAGCCAATGAGAAGCAGGCTGAGCCTTTGCAGGACCGTTTGGGGAAGGTATGCAAGCGGAAGAAACAAAGATCACAACAGCCACTGTCAGTTCCGGGCAGGTTTGGCACCAGATGGATTTGTGCCACATGAATAAAAACACGGTTCTTCAGAGCTTCTGAGATTTAGGTATTCCAAATAAAGAATTATGGAACTGCTTAATTTTTTATTCACCCTGAACATTTTTTAAAAACTTAGCCTCATTCCCCTTACCTGTGAAATAAGAAAATAAAGAGTTCAGCATGTTTATTATATAACAGAGAAAACATCCAATGTGTGTCAGCTGCTGAGTGGATAAGCAGAATAGAGCACGTTTGTACAATGGAATGTTATTCTCTCTAATGAAAGACAAACATGCAAATTGACTGCACCTTCGCTACACCCACAAGCCATGCCCAACAGCCAATCAGGGTGAGTATGCAAATTAACCCAACAAAGGTGGCAGTTAATTTGCATACCCAGGCCAGAGCAAAGACTGAAGACAGCTAGAAAGAAGCCAAGCCTGCAGAAGGGGGCGAAGAAGGGAGAGAAGCGGGCGGGCAGGGAGACCGCAGCAGGAAGCTCTATTGCAGGAATCTTCCTGCAGGGGACCTCTAGTTAGAGAATAAAAAGGAATGAAGTCTAATACACGCTACAACATGGATGGACCTTGAAATATTATGCTCCGTGAAAGAAGCCAGACACAGAGGCCACATATTGTATGGTTCTCTTTATGAGATGTCCAGAATCGGTAAATCCACACAAAAAGCAGGTTAGGGGTTTGCAGGAAGTCACTGCTACCAGGGACCGGCTTTCTCGTCGGCGAGCGGGAGTATTCTGGACTGAGACTGCGGTGCTGGGTGCTCAGCACCTGAAGAGACTCAACTCCGCCGCACGTGTGCATTTTACAGCCGTGAGTTTCAGGTTAGGAAATGTCAGTTCACTTGATTTTTAATAGTAAAACCGCCCCCCAAAGCCAAAACCAAACAAACCCTAAACCCCAAGCCCCTGACATAGGACCAGTAAATATAAATGCTCGTCTGCACACCAGCTCCACGAAGCCCTAGGCCAGCCCCGTGCAGGATCGGCCTGGCAGAACGGAGGGCCAGGAGGCAGAGACGGGGCCCGCATCTCCCTGCCCGCCCCCCCACCTCGGGGCAGGCCTCCTGCCTACCTGATCTCTGCGGGTCGCTGGGCAGCCGGAAGCCGCCCGCCAGCAGCATCTCGGCCTCCCGGGCCAGCAGCGCGTACCGCGGCTCGTCCGCCATCCCGTCGTACCCCCCGCCCTCGTCGCAGTCCGACTTCTCCAGGGCGGAGCTGTACCAGTGCAGCGCCTCCGGCCAGTCCCGGCACCTGGGCAGGAGACAGAGAGGAGGGCGCTACCATGGCAGCCGGGAGGGCAGAAGGCCCCGCCGCCGAGGAGCGGGTCTGGGACCTCAGGGCCCCCCCTCCCCACGAACCCCGACTCAGCACCAGCTGCCACCACAGCGAGGGCCTCGCCCAGCCCTCAGCCTGCACATCGGTGAGGGCTCCGGACCCGTCCCGTCAGGGCTGCTGCCCCTCCGCTCCCCGCAGCGGCGCGAGCGGCTTCCCTGAGCCCGGCAGCACGGCAGCCGCTGGCCATCGGTCTGCGCTGGGGTGGGTGAGGGGGTGAAAGGGCCCCTTCGCACGGCTCAGACCCTGTGAGAGAATGGCCATCGCAGACTCCGGGAGGGGCAGCTCTCTGCTCTGCCTCCAGCCTCCTGCCTCCAGCCTCGGCTCCCTCTGCTCTGCCTCCAGCCTCCGCTCCGCCTCCAGCCTCGGCTCCCTCCGCTCTGCCTCCAGCCTCCACTCTGCCTCCAGCCTCGGCACCCTCCGCTCTGCCTCCAGCCTCCACTCTGCCTCCAGCCTCGGCTCCCTCTGCTCTGCTCCAGCCTCCTGCCTCCAGCCTCCGCTCTGCCTCCAGCCTCGGCTCCCTCCGCTCTGCCTCCAGCCTCCTGCCTCCAGCCTCGGCTCCCTCTGCTCTGCCTCCAGCCTCCGCTCTGCCTCCAGCCTCCGCTCTGCTCCAGCCTCCGCTCTGCCTCCAGCCTCGGCTCCCTCTGCTCTGCTCCAGCCTCCGCTCTGCCTCCAGCCTCGGCACCCTCTGCTCTGCCTCCAGCCTCCTGCCTCCAGCCTCCGCTCTGCCTCCAGCCTCGGCTCCCTCTGCTCTGCCTCCAGCCTCAGCTCCCTCCGCTCTGCCTCCAGCCTCCGCTCTGCCTCCAGCCTTGGCTCACTCCCTCTGCTCAGCCTCCGGTCTCGGCTCCCTCCGCTCTGCCTCCAGCCTCTGCTCTGCCTCCGGCCTCGTCTCTCTGCTGCCTCTCCTCCGGCTCCCAGCCCAGCTCCGCCCCAGGCCGGCTCTCTGCTCCCAGACACACAGCTCAGCTCCTTCCTCTTCCTCACCCGGCTCCTCAGCGCCTGAGCCTCCTCCTCAGCCGCCCTGACACCCCATTTCCTATGACGGCTCCGGTCTGTCACTCAATGTGAGGACACGGCCCCGGAGGCAGGGCTGGGCGGTGAACACGCCGGCCAGGAGGCCTCAGGGGCGCACTGATCCCCCTTCTTTTTACCGACACCCAGGCCTGTGCCGGTACCGCTGACACCCAGGCCAGTGCCGGTACTGCGGACACCCAGGCCTGCGCCGGTACCGCCGACACCCAGGCCAGTACCGGTACCGCCGACACCCAGGCCAATGCCGGTACCGAAGGGGAAGCTCCCACCTGGACCCAGTTCCCCAGCCCTCCCCTCACCTCCACCCTCGCCCCTGGGTGGCGGCCACAGTACCTGTCTGGGCTGAGGTTCTGGCCGGTATCAAAAGCCCGTGCCACCAGGATCATGCACTGCCTGTCGCCAGCTCCAGCCGCCTTCAGTAAGTAATCGAATCCTTTGGTCTTGTTTTCTTCCGTCTCCTGCCGATGCCAACCAGAGGGAGAGGGAGAGTGAGCCTGCCTGGAGGGCTGCGGGCCACGGCCCCCTCGCACCGGGTTCTGTGAGCCCGGCGGGCCGCTGAGAACGGCGTGAGACCAGGCGGGCACCGCGGCAGGAGCCCCTGGTGCCCAGGAGGGCGGGACGGAAGCTTACCCGCTCCTGCTCACTGCCGTCTACCTCTCTGAGACACCCTTTACACCACCGAACCCCCGCGGAAGCATGCACACCGACAGTGTCAGCATTCAGCACAACGCACAGCCATCGCTGTGGCACTCAGACAACGGCACACAGCCTCACCGCACCTCCAGGCGCCCACCCCCCAGCCCGGAAGCACTGTTTCTCTTATTCTTTTCAGAGAGGAAGGGCGAGGGAGAGAGAGAAACACCAACAGTGAGAGGGTATCATTGATCAGCTGCCTCCTGCACATCCTATGTCAGGGCCAAGCCAGAAACCCAGGCATGTGCCTCACGTGCCTCACTTGGAACCGAACTGTGACCACCTGGTTGGTGTTCAACCACTGAGCCACGCCAGCCAGGCTCACCTATCATCTGTTTCTAGAGATTCCCCTGTTCTGGACATTTAATACGAATGAAATCATATAACACGTGGCTGGCCTCTTCCCCAAGGCGTAAAGCATTCAGGTTTATCTGTGCTGTGGCGGTATCAATGCTTCATTCTTCTTCTTTTTTTAAAATATATTTTATTGACTTTTTACAGAGAGGAAGAGAGAGAGGGATAGAGAGTTAGAAACATCGATGAGAGAGAGACATTGATCAGCTGCCTCTTGCACATCGCCTACTGGGGATGTGCCCGCAACCAGGGTACATGCCCTTGACCGGAATCGAACCCAAAACCTTTCAGTCCACAGGCTGACGCTCTATCCACTGAGCCAAACCAGTTTCGGCGCTTCATTCTTCTTGTGGCCAAATAGCATCCCATTGTGTAGCTACGCCACATTCTGATTATTCAGGCCTGGCCAGTGTGTTCAGTGGTTAGTGTTGGCTGTCCACCCAAGGGTCACAAGTTCAATTCCAGGTCAAGGGTTCGCTCCCCACCCCTAATCAGGGCGCATGCAGGAGGCAACCAGTTAATGTATCTCTCTCACATTGATGCTTCTCCCTCCCTCCCTCCCTCCCTCCCTTCCACTCTCACTGAAAAGCAATGGAAAAAATATCTTCAGGTGGGGATTAACAACAAAAAAGTATCACTCCCTGGTTATTTCACTACATACTAGAGGCCCTGTGCTCAAAATTCATGCAGGGGTAGGGAGGAGTGGTCCCCTCAGCCCTGCCTACACCCTCTTGCAATCTGGGACTGCTAGCTCCTAACCACTGGCCTGCCTGCCTGATCGCCCCTAACTGCTTGCCTGCCTGCCTGATCACCCCTAACCACTCACCTGCCTGACTGATCACCCCCTACCACTCTGCCTGCCTGCCTGATCAGCCCCAACCACTCTGCCTGACTGCCTAATCACCCCTAACCACTATGCCTGCCTAATCACCCCTAACCACTATGCCTGCCTGATCACCCCCTTCCACTCTGCCTGCCTGCCTAATCACCCCTAACCACTCACCTGCCTGCCTGATCACCCCCAATCACTCTGCCTGCCTGCCTGCTCACCTCTAACCACTCTACCTTCCTGCCTAATCACCCCTAACCACTCTGCCTGCCTGATCACCCCCAACAACTCTGCCTTCCTGCCTGATCACCCCCAACAACTCTGCCTTCCTGCCTGATCACCCCCAACAACTCTGCCTTCCTGCCTGATCACCCCCAACCAGTCTGCCTGCCTGCCTGCCTGATCACCCCTAACCACTCACCTGCCTGATCACCCCTAACCGCCTTTGCTTTGGCCCCTGCTGTGGCAGCTTCGTCCGGAAGAATATCTGGAATGATGTCCAGAAGGTTGTTTGGCTGTCCGGTCTAATTAGCATATTATGCTTTTATTATTCTAGATGGTCCTGAATCTGATGACTGTGCCCTGTAGGGTGTTCAGCAGCATCCCTGGTCTCGACCTGTTAGTGCCAGCTGCATCCCCAGAGCTGCGACAAGCAATGTCTCTGACAGCCAGTGTCCCCTGGAAAGCGGAGGCAGAGGGGCTGGCGGAGAACCACCGGGTTTGAAACTGGGTGGACGCACCACGAAACCGTGTCCTCTGCTCACTTCCTCCCAAGCTGTGCTCAGCGATGTCACACTTATGAACTCGGCCACATTTATAACACAGGAAGCAGAAACTGCTACAAGCCAAGGTTTGAATAACTCTTTTTGACTATCTTGGTTGAAAAAGAGATGAAAGATATTCATAACGCAGATTAACTTAAAAGCACGGGGCCTGTCGTTACAGTGTGCCAGCACAGGACACTGAGGAACATTCTCCGTGTTATCAGCAGCAAATGAGCCGACTTCCGGTTCGGACAGAGACCTTCCTCATTTCGCCTTCCTCTTACATTCGAGGTAAATGAAAGTTTCAACCAACATTTCAATGGCCAATGTTTATGTCAGAATGTCACACCTCCCTCAGCTGCAACCACAGTGGGTCGCAGATATAAAGATCCACAATAAGTACCAAAGCATCCCGTGAGAATGCCGACTGTATCAAATTTACAATGGTCTTTTAAAAATATATGTATTATTGACTTCAGAGAGGAAAGGAGGGGGAGAGAGAGAAACATCAGTGATGAGAATCGTCGATCCGCTGCCTCCTGCACGCCCCACACGGGGGACTGGGCCCGCAACCCAGGCAATGTGCCCTGACCGGGAACTGAACTCTGACCTCTTGGTTCATAGGTCGATGCTCAACCACTGAGCCACACCAGCCGGGTAACGGTGGAGTGTTTTATGCCCCGGCCAGTGTGGCCCTTGGAGTGTCCTCCCATCTGCTGAAAGGCTGAACATCCTGTGATAATCGACTGAATATATGGAATTTATCCAGTGTCTGTTCTTTTGTTAATCCTCACCCGAGGTTATTCTTTTTCATCGATTTTCAGAGTAGAAGGGAGGGAGGGGGCAGAGAGGAAGGACGGTAGAAGAGAGAGAAACATCGATTGGTTGCCTCTTGCACATGCCCTAACTGGGGCCAGGGATCGACCTGCAACCCAGGTATGTGCTTTTGGGAATTGAACCCATGACCCTCAGTGCCTGGGCTGATGCTCTACCACTGAGCCACACTGGCCAGGGCTACAATAGTATTTTTTTTAAAAATATATTTTATTGATTTTTTACAGGGAGGAAGGGAGAAAGATAGAGAGCTAGAAACATTGATGAGAGGGAAACATCGACCAGCTGCCTCCTGCACACCCCCTACTAGGGATGTGCCCACAACCAAGGTACATGCCCTTGACTGGAATCGAACTTGGGACCTTTCAGTCCGCAGACCGATGCTCTACCACTGAGCCACACCGGCTTTGGCTACAACAGAGTATTTTTATGCCCTGGCTGGTGTGGGCCGGTTGGTTGGAGCGTGGTCTCGGGACCTCTCCTCCCCTTAAGGTGCCCAGGGGCCAGGGGGGCAGTGGAGCGGCCTCATGGGCTTCCCACCCCACATCCGCAGCGCCAGACCCACGCAGCCTCCTCTGCGCCACCCCCACGCCACAGGCTCTGGCCGCACCAATGGCCTCCGGGCCGTAGACCTGCCAGCCTGCGTGCCCCCTCCCTGAACTGCTCTTACTCACCACCCGGCCTTTAGGTCTAACTTAAATGTCATCTTATTCAGATTCCACAGCAAATCCTAAGCACCTCCTATGTGCTGGGCTGCTCTGGTCTCGGGGCACCAGGCAGGGCCCTCCCCTCTGTCCCTCTGTCTCTCCAGCTTCTCCCCTCGCCCGGGACCCGCCGGAAATGCCCCGGGCCTAGAGGAGCCCGGCTCCCGGCAGTCAGACCGATGGGGAAGGCGGCTGGGCCTCACCTGCAGGGCCACCTCGGCCAGGATGTGGTGCGGCAGCTGCGAGTACAGGAGCCCCAGGCCCACGATGGCCTCCAGCTCGCCCAGGTCGGCGGCGTGCTCCAGGTGGAAGAGGGCCGACCCCCGGTCCCAGGCCCCGTCCTGCCCGCAGAAGCGCCCGCCCTCGTGGTAGCGCACCAGGGCCAGGTGGACCTGCACAGACGGGCGTTGGTGAGCGGGGCGGAGCGGCGAGGCCGGACCAGGGAGGGCTCTGCAGAGGCATCGCCCCTACCTTCCCCAGCACGGACTTCCCGATCCTGAGGCCGAGGTCCAGGGCACTAAGCCTGCGCACTTCCTGGGCCGCGGCGGAGGGCCTGGGCAGGTGGAGGCGGGCGGGGTTAAGGAGGCTCCACTTCTCCACACAGACCTGGGGAGAGAGCCGGGCGTGGCTTCCGGGCCGAGGCCGGGGGCAGACCCTGAGGGTGCCGAGTTCTCTGGGGCCAACGGCCCCAGTTCTAGTCACTCAGCTCGTGGCACCCAGGCCGAGGGCAGCCACGGCTGCAGCTGGACCATGGCCAGACCACGCGGCTCAGAGAGGCGCCTCCCTCGCGGGCCAATCTGGGTGAGGTCGGAAGCAAGCCCCAGGCCCGTGGCCCGCCCTCCACCCCCTCTGCCCTCCTCCGATGCAGGTGCTCCGGGACATCCCAGCTGAACACGCCCGTCCGCCCACCAGCGACCTCGGAACCAGGAGGTCACGGTGCCAATCCCGGTCAGGACACACGCCCAGGTCACGGTGACTCCGGCTGGGGGCATGCAGGAGGCAGCCAATCCATGATTTCCTCTCAGCATTGATGTTTCTCTCTCTCCCTCTCCCTTCCCCTCTGAAATCAATAAAAATATATTTGAAAAATAAAATAAAAATAAAACCTGGTTGAAAGGTTCCTTCAGAGGGAAGACGTGTGCGCCAAGCACCCCACAGCCACGCGGCAGACGTGTGCGCCAAGCACCCCACAGCCACGCGGCCCCTATGGAGGGTGGTCTGGCTCAGGACGCCAACCCAGAGCCGTGGTGAGCCCGGACCCAGCCGGAGGGAGCCCAGGGCCGGGGGGAGAGGGCTGTGCCCGGAGGGAGCCCAGGGCCGGGGTGGTGGGCTGTGCCCGGAGGGAGCCCAGGGCCGGGGGGAGAGGGCTGTGCCCGGAGGGAGCCCAGGGCCGGGGGGAGTGGGCTGTGCCCAGAGGGAGCCCAGGGCCGGGGTGGTGGGCTGTGCCCGGAGGGAGCCCAGGGCCGGGGGGAGTGGGCTGTGCCCAGAGGGAGCGGGAGGGAAGGCCCTTCAGGCCGGAGGGGCTCCGTAGAGGAGGCTGGAGGAGGCTGGAGGCAGGACCAGAGGGCCCCCCGCCTGTGGGCTGCGCCCCAGGGTGAGGACACCTCAGGTAGCCAGGAGCTGGGGAGCAAGTGGACCTGTTTCCTCATCCTAACGGGGGCGGCACCATTAGCCCGTCTCTGGGCTGTCAGGAGGGAGTTAGCTAACGTCACAGCCGTTGTGGGCGGGACTGGGACAGTGAGCTGTGGCTGTGATCCCCTCCGGAACCATCCCTAATCCTCCCCGAGCCCCCATCGCCCGCCAGGGAGGGGCTCAGAGAGAGGGGAGGGCCATCGCCCGCCAGGGAGGGGCTCAGAGAGAGGGGAGGGCCATCGCCTGCCCAGGAGGGGCTCAGAGAGAGGGGAGGGCCATCGCCTGCCAGGGAGGAGCTCAGAGAGAGGGGAGGGCCATCGCCCGCCAGGGAGGGGCTCAGAGAGAGGGGAGGGCCATCGCCTGCCCAGGAGGGGCTCAGAGAGAGGGGAGGGCCATCGCCTGCCAGGGAGGAGCTCAGAGAGAGGGGAGGGCCATCGCCCGCCAGGGAGGGGCTCAGAGAGAGGGGAGGGCCATCGCCTGCCCAGGAGGGGCTCAGAGAGAGGGGAGGGCCATCGCCTGCCAGGGAGGAGCTCAGAGAGAGGGGAGGGCCATCGCCCGCCAGGGAGGGGCTCAGAGAGAGGGGAGGGCCATCGCCCGCCCAGCGCAAGGAGACTGACTTCTTTGCAGCATGGCCCTCAGGAGGCATGAAGTGCAGGGCGGGCTGCAGGGTGTGAGCATGACATGGGTAGCCAGCTGGGGTGGGGGTTGGGGGGAGACACAGGCAGCCGGGACACATACACACACACACACACACACACACAGGCAGCCGGGGGTGGACTGACACAGGCAGCCGGGGGGACACAGGGGCCTCACCCGTGCGCAGCTGCCCAGGCTGTCTTCGTCTGACTCGGACCTCTGGCTGCCGTTGGAGTGGCCCTGTGGATGCAGAGAGGTCAGAGGGCAGCTCCCCCGCCGGGCGGCCCTGCACCTCCCCGAGGGGCTCCCTCAGGCGCCGGCCCCGGGCAAACTGGAGCCCGGCCCGGCCAGCGGAGACTGAGGGGACAGGCAGGACCCCGTGCCGGAGGGGGGCCCTGTGCCGGAGAGGGGGCCGTGCCGGAGAGGGGGGACCCGTGCTGGAGAGGGGGCCCGTGCCGGAGAGGGGACCCCGTGTCGGAGAGGGGGCCGTGCCAGAGAGGGGACCCTGTGCCGGAGAGGGGGCCGTGCCGGAGAAGGGGCCGTGCCGGAGAGGGGGCCGTGCCGGAGGGGGGACCCCGTGCCGGAGGGGGGCCCGTGCTGGAGAGCCACCGGACCATGGCCTCGGTCCCCTGCCCGCCTCCCCCAGGGACGAGGCTGGACCCGAGGCTGGGAGGCCAGGCTCAGGCGCTGCCAGGCCGCCCTCCGGGAGCCGCCCCTCCCCGCTCCTCCCCGCACCCACTGCCCCATCGCCCCTTCTACCCCGGGCCCTGCGTCCGTCTCCCGAACGGAGCTCCGTGGTCCCGCACTCCTCCTCCTCAGGCCCATGGTCCGCCCCCGGGTGACGGGGACAGGGCGTCCTCTCCGGCTCCTTACCCGCTCCCGGGGCTCCGGCCCGTCCAGCTCGCCCCGCTTCTCACTGGGGTAGCCGCTGTCCCCGCTGTTCTCCGAGTCCTGTGGACAGAGGGCGCCGAGGGCTCAGGTCCGAGGGCCCGGTGCTGACGGCCGGACCCAGCCCTTCCTCCCCCGCCCGCCCTCGGCTCACGGAGCATCCTCCGCCCGCCCGCCCGCTGCGACACAGAGCGGCTGCGACCACGCAGGGTGACAAGCAGCCGAGGCCCGGCTCGGAGCGCGGCTGCTCCGCTCAAACCGGACCCTGACTGCCCGCGGGCGGGACGCTGCCTGCCTCCACCCCCTTCGTACGGCACTCGTTACAGTGCCCCCGTCAGAGGCTGAGTCACAGCCAGCGCCTCGGTTAGCGTGGCGCCTCCATTCCCAGGCAGGAACACAGGCTGGTTGAGGGTTCTAAGCCACAGGTGAGATGCAGCGCTGGGACCAGTATCACCACAACTAAGCCTGTGCCAACACCGCCCGGGCACCTGGGCGTGTGTGTTCTAGACCTGAGATCTGCTCAGAAAGGGATCTGGTGTGATGTCAACCGCTAAAACCACCGTCATTTATCTACCGAGCTTGGGTTCTGCATCCCCATTCCGCTCACTGACCCTGCTTCCCTTCCACACACACGCAGGAGCGGAGGCCGAGGGGGCACCCCGCTGCCGTCCCGGCTCTGTCACCCCAAAGGCGGCCTCAGTGACTCTGGTCACTGCGTTTTTATTTAGTTACTTACTTTGGTTAATCCTAGCCTGAGGATGTTTTTCTATTGATTTCAGAGCGTGGAAGGGAGGGGGAGAGACAGAGAGGGAGGAATCGACAGGCTGCCTCCCGCACGTGCCCGACTGGGGCAGGGGATCAAGCCTGCCACCGAGGCGCAGGCCCTCGCCGGGAGTGGAGGGCCCGCTGTGGCCTCTGGGCACACTGGCTAGGGCTGCACTGTTGTTTGTAAAAGGAACTAAAACGCTGCTGCTAACGTTAGGTCCCTACGCTCTCCCCTCTAGACAGAGTCGGGAACTGAGCCCTCTCGTGTTACCCTGTACGCGCCCTTTTAAAAGAAAAGGCATCACTGGCTTCACATGAAGCCTGCCTCACTCCCGAACAGGAGGAGCGGAGGCACACACTGCAGGATCCGGGTCCCGGGGAGGCACACACTGGGATCCCAGTCCCGGATCTGGCCGGGACCCTCCACGCAGAAGCCTGCTGACCTCCCGCCAGCCGCCCCCACGCCTCGCCCTGTGAGCTGAACCTGCTTTTCCCGGTTTTTAACACAGGCCACCAAACGGAACGTTCCAGGCATGGAGCGAAGGCTACTGAGCACGCTCCAGCAGCCTGCCACCCGCACCCCTTATCCCTCCGGCAGAATCACGCCGAGCTGAGCAAAGAGCCCCCGGCAAACCCCGCTCTGGGCCTGGTGAGGCAGCCAACCTCTCCAGACTGAGGGCTCGTCGTCTGAGGGATGGGGGGCTACCACGGAGATGGAGGTGCAGGCAGAGGCAGCACAGCGGGGGTCTGAGCACTGGGTCCTCACCGAGGGACCAGGAGCGGGTGGCCCACCCTCGGTGCCTCCGGGCCCTCCCGCCCAGAGGTGGTCACAGGCAAAGGGGCAGGTGGCTGAGGCGGGGAGCGAGGCGTGTCGCTGTGCTGATGCCCGTTAAAAGGACGGACTGGAGGCGTCTACCCAGTCCTTGCACAGCGTCTGCCCTCGGGGACGATGCGTGCGTGTCAGCTGTTCCTTCCCTCACAGTTCTGAAGGGTGCTCACGAGTAAATCCAACCTTTGGAGCCATCTGGGGGTGCAGTGTGGTCTGGGCGCGTGTGAGCCATCTACGACGCCTGCTTTAAGAACTCCTGCGAATTTTAGGCCTGATACTGGGACATGTTTGCTGAATGCAAACACGGTGCTTCCAGTCTTCTGCCACCGAGCCACCAGAGCTGCCAGAACCTGTTCCGTTTACCCACTGAGCGCTGCCCGCTGGCCGTGCGGCGAGGGGCCTGCGAGCCCTCTGCCCCCCCACCCCCCAGCCGTCCACACCACGGGGCCGACCCGCTGAGGGCTGAGGACTGGATTCCCTCTCTAACCACTTCACGGGAGCGAGGACCAGCTGTTTCTGAAAAGCACGGCTGCTGAGGGCTGGAGGCTGAGTTACCTGTGTCCCCGGCTGCACAGAGCAGGCCTGGGCGCCCACCTCGGACCCTGAGCACCACCCTCGTTCCCACCGGGACTCCGCCCACCCGCTGCTCCTCCCGCTCCGTACCCGGTGGTTGTCCGGCTGGTCGTCCGGCTGGTCGTGATCTCGGGGAGCCACACCGTCCAAGTCGCTGAACACGGGCCAGTCTGGGCAGGAGAGAGAGACAGAGGATGTGCTGGGCCCTGCTGGGAGTTCCCACGCCCCACCTACGCCTGGAGCTGACTGCCTGGGGCTACAGTCCCCTTCCTCCTTGTCCGCTGTGGCCCAAGCAGGTGTCTCAATCGGGCTTGCCATGAAGCAGCATGTCTGTGAGCATGTGTGCACGGCCAGAACATGTCTATAAGTGTGTGTGCACGCCCAGGAACATGTCTGTGAGCGTGTGTGCACGGCCAGAACCTGTCTGTGAGCGTGTATGCACGGCCAGAACATGTCTGTGAGCGTGTATGCACGACCAGAACATGTCTGTGAGCGTGTGTACACGCCCAGGAACATGTCTGTGAGCGTGCATGCATGACCATAACATGTCTGTGGGCATGTGTGCACAGCCAGAACATGTCTGTGAGCGTGTGTGCACGCCCAGGAACATGTCTGTGAGCGTGCGTGCACGGCCAGAACATGTCTGTGAGCGTGCGTGCACGGCCAGAACATGTCTGTGGGCATGTGTGCACGCCCAGGAACATGTCTGTGAGCGTGTGTGCACGCCCAGGAACATGTCTGTGAGCGTGTGTGCACGCCCAGGAACATGTCTGTGAGCGTGTGTGCACGGCCAGGAGGCCTCCGGTGCAGCTGTGGAGGATGGCCGTCGGCACGTCTGGCACCAAAGAGGCCCTGCGGACAGCTGCGGGCTGTGACGGCGGACAGACCCGGCTCCCCTCACCCGCCTGACGAGGCCCACAGGCAGACCTGCCCGCCTTCCCGATGGCTCCAGAACCCCACTTCCTGGTGCCCCGTCTCTGCCTCCTGCTCGGCTCCCGAGCCACCCTGGCTGGCCTCTGGTTTTTCCTCTTTTAAATAGATATTGCTGCTTCAGAGAGGAAGGCCGAGGGGGAGACACAGCAACACCAGTGATGAGAGGGAACCACTGGTCACTTTCCTCCTGCACGCCCCGCCCTGGGGACTGAGCCCCCGCCCAGGCATGCGCCCTGACCAGGAATCGAACCATGACCTCCTGGTTCATAGGTCAAAGATCAAAAACTGAGCCACGCCAGCCAGGCCGCCTCCTGTTTTTATGTGGTTTCTTTAAGAATGTTTTTTTCCTTCTTAAATGACTGGAAATATGAAAGACTAACATCTTCCGATAGGTGAAAACTACCCGACACTGGAACGTGGGTGTCCGGCAGGAGTGCTGGCACCCGAGCCACCCGTCGGCCAAGCCCATCCACACGGGAGCGGCGCGTGCCCGAGCCTACCGCGTTTACGGGCCCTGTGACCCGGAGGGCGGCTGGACTGGGCAGGGCACAGGCCGGGGGCGGCTCGGGCCCCGGGTGGAGCATGAGGGGGCAGCTGGTCGATGACGCGCTCTCTTTAATGACATTCCGTCTCTCCCTGCCCCCTCCTCTCCTCCAAAGTCAATACAAACGTTAACACACACGCGGTTCTAGTCTGAGCCCTGGCACTGTCCCCTCCGACCACGGCCCGGGCCAGCCTCACTCACGGGGCGGCTCCGGCTTCTGGCTGTGCGGCGTGGCGGAGCACGGGGAGGAGGAGAGCGAGTCCCAGGCCGCGTCGCTCACGCTCTCGTCCCCGGAGTTCTCGGACAGGCGGAGGCGCAGGGGCGGCCGGGCCCCGGAGAGGCTGCTGGCGAGGGGGCTCCCGCACTTCTCCTCCGTCCCCCGCAGGAGGGTCTGGGCGGACTGCTGAGGAGCAACGGGGCGCTCGTCACAGGCGCCCGCTGGAGGGGGGCTCTTCCTGCTGTCGCTGCCTGAGCTCCGAGCCCAGGCTCCACCCAGGCTGTCTGCCAACAACAACCCACCGGGGCGTCTGGGCGCCGGCCGCCAACGCTCCCCAAAGCCGGCCATGCGTGTCACCACACGTTCGCGATCCCGCGCTGGGCTCTGCCACCGCTCCTGTGTCTGGGCCACGCAGGGCAGGGCGTGGGCACAGCCGCCACCCAGCCAGGCTCAGGTCTAGTCCTTGGCAAACAGCCTCACGCACACGGACACACACATACACACGCACACACACCTCTCCCCCACGCTCTGCCCGCCCGGTCTCCTCACTCCGGGGAAAACGAACCCAAACCAAGCGGAGCCAGGTCCTCCGCTCGTGGGACCCGGGGCTCCGTGCACCGGTTGGGAGGGAGGCCGGATGGGAGGGAGCCCTCCGGTCCCGATGCTCCTCATTAGGCCGGCACAGGGAAGCGCGGAGGGCACCCACCAGCAGCGCGGTGCTCTGGTCCACTGCGTCCTGCTCCCGCGGCGAGAGGTCGAAGGGCGTGAGGCCCATGCTCCTGCAGATCCGGTTGCAGGCGTGGGAGTGGAAGAAGAGCGCCATGCCCCGGACCCCTGCGGACGGACGGGCGGGCGGTGTTGGGGTGGGGGAGGGGAGAGGGGGGACCACGCTGAAGTGGGGGTCGGACGTCCCAGGCTCCCCCGCCACAGCCCTGCCGAGGCCACGGCCTGGCTCCTGAGTGCAAGGAGCCGGGAGGTCTGGGGAGGGTGTGGTCTCCGTGCAACAGGCTGCCCCCACCCACCGAGGTTGCCGTCTCCGAAGTCGGTGCCCTTCTCGGTGTGGATCTGAGGGTCGGTGTAGAGGTCGCCCACACCCTGGATGTCCACCACGATCAGCTGGTGGCCGGAGCGCTCGAAGGTGAAGTGGCTGAAGGCCTGGGGGGAGCGGGAGGGGCAGGTGGCGGAGCCGGCCTTCTCAGGTCCCGTCCGGGGCGGGGCCAGGCGGACAGAGCGGGGGGGGGGGGGGGGGGGGGTAGGGGGAGCGCAGGCGGGCGCCCTGGAAGCCCAGGGCTGAGGGCCAGGGTGAGACCCGCCTGCCGGACCCCGCCCCGGCCTCACCTGCGGCGTGAGGCGCGCGTCATCGCGCACGAAGCCCGAGTTGGAGTTGTACTTGGTGTACTGGCCCTCGATGTAGTGCTCCAGGTGGAAGAGGGGCGCGCCCGGCCGGTCCCTCAGCTCCAGCACGCACATCTGCACGATGTCCACCTGCGGGGGGGCGGGGTCAGGGCCAGCGGCGCCTCCGGACACGGCCAGCCGAGCTGAGGGGCCCGCCCGCCCGCCCGCCCGCAGGGTCCACGCCCGCAGCTCCGAGGCAGCCGCCGCCGTCCCCCAATCCACCGCCCCCCACCGCCCCGAATGAGTTCCCCTCCGGAGTCCGTCTGCCCAGCGGTTTCCCAGCTGGCACCCGCCCCGCACCGGCAGCTCATGAATGAGTCATTAACAGTGAGTTTTTGCACTTCTATGGTTCTAGGGGCCTCACATTCAGCATATCAATACACACTGTGACATATTTATGCACTTCAGTTCTCTTTATAGTTTTGAAGCTTCATTTGCTATTTTTTCCTTATCACTTCATATTGTTATTTTTTAAACAATTTCTTAGTGATTTCTTCCTCAGCACTTCAATGTCCTTTCATTCTTTTATTTTTCTCTTTCATGGAGGCCATGTTCTTTGGAAGCTTGCTTAGACCATGTGAGCAGCTCACTTTTTGAGTAATAAGAATTCTGTGTCACAGGCCATCGGGCTCTTACAGACTCTTAGATGGGGCCCAGCCCCAAACAGGCTGGGAACCTCTTCGAAGGTGGAGTCTTCCTTTCGAAGGTGGAAGGTCATAGGCCCCGAGGGTGGAGCCTGATGGATGGGAAGTGCACCCTCCTCCTCCTCTGTGCCAGGTCCAGCCAGAGCGCAGGCTCTGACCCAGGAGGCCTCAGAGGCGACCACCCAGACCCCCATCTTCCCAACCCCTAACACTGTGATGACCACCCAGCCTGCGGCATCCTGTCTAATACAGAGGGGATATGCTAATCGACCCTCACACCATCACAGAGATGGCAGCACCCACAGCCAATAAGGAGGGGATATGCTAACTGACTATCACGCCCTCCAAGCTGGCACCCAGTCCCCTCAGTCCCTCAGCCCCTCAGCCGAGGCGCAGGTTACCGGGTCCGGCTGAGGCCTGCGCTGCCGGCAGTGGCAGCAGCAGAGGTGGATGGGGCGTCGCTTCCCCTGAGTGCCAGGTCGCCTCCCGCCCCTGAGGGTTCCCGGACTGGGAGGGGGGCAGGCTGGGCTGAGGGACCCTCCGGTGCACGAATGTCAGGGCCTCTATTTTGTTATAACAGCCAAATGGACTAAGACAACCCCCAACTCTGCTTTTAACAAGGTGACACTACGCAGCCCGCCCCTGGGGGCGGCCATGGGCCACGCTCAGGCTTCAGGAAGCTCTTGGCTGCGTGGCAGCAGCATGGCGTCCAGGGGCGCAGGGGAGAGCGTGGGGTCTGGGCGCTCACATGGCGGGAGGGGGACCCCGCACTGCGCAGGGCGGGGCAGCGCCCTGTCCCCGATGCCCACAGGCAAGAGGAGCCTCTGCGTCCTCCGCCTGGGCTCACGGGGGACGCCACCGGGGGGACGGGAAGGCTGGGTGCTGGGCCCTGGCTCCCCCTCTGCCTGTGAGGAGGCCACTGACCCCTTTGGGTCCTGTTCCCCTCTCCTCCTCCTGCTTTTTCTCGGGGTCACACTCTCAGTCCCAGGAGGACCCACATTCCTGGTTCTAATGGTGGACAAGAGGCTCAGGCCTGCCCAATCTGTGCATTCCCCTCCCCTGGCGGCCCTCACGGCCGGTTCAGGGAAGGCACCTGGTTTAACCAGAGCAACGAACCCGGTCTGGGCTTTCACTGGAGCTCCGGGGAGACGGCGCTGTCTCCAGGTCGCTGGGTCAGGCAGGGCTGCGGCTGTGGCCGGCGTGCCGCTGCATGGGCAGTGAGGCCAGGGTCCCAGCCCTCAGCTCGGTCCTGGCTGTGGGCAGTGCTATCGCTCAGTCCCTGGGGCAAACCTCTCCTTTCTGCATTAAACCCCCTATGTGGGTTTCTGTCATTTGCAAACAAAAACCCTGACTCTCAGATCCCGTCTGTAAAGGGGATGAGAACACCCCACCGGCTCCCAGTGCTGCTTTAGAACAAACAGCCGTGCAGCCCAGCTCCAGGCCCTGTGCTGGTACCCGGGGCTGCGACAGTGAGACCGTGAGGAAGGAGGCCGGGCTGGCACCTCCGCCACCGGTCTCCTTGCCCCGGCCGCCTGGCGGGGCGGGGGCGGGCTGGGGGGCGCACCTGCTTGGGGGGCTTGTGCCGGTTGTACTCCTGCCCCCAGAGCTTGGCCTCCATCTGCAGGCGCACGTCCTCGAAGTACACGCCCTGGTCCACCGGCTCCAGGTAGCGCTTGGCCACGTAGTTGGAGGCCGCCCTCCACTGCTGGGCGTGCAGGAAGTTGGACAGCTTCTTCCTGGGGATCAGCGGGCCGGCTGGGCACTGGGCTCCCGGGGACCAGAGCCCTCGCGGGAGGAGGCTGGCCGGGCCAGGAGCAGGACGGGAGGCGGGAGGGGCTGCCCCGCTGCCCCGTGACCTCCGGGCAGGGGCCAAGGGGACTGGGTGACGTGTCCTCGCCGACCCTCGGCCTCCGAGGACCAGAGCTGAGGTGATAGATGCTCCTGGGCTCATCCCCCAACACCAGGCCGATCTGGGGCCCAGGGGCTGTGACGGGGGAGGAAGGGAGGGGGCCTCGGAGCCGCTGCACTTACGTCCGGAAGCACTCCCGCATGGCGCCGCGGCCGAAGGGCTGGAAGACACGGAGGCTGTCAGTCCCCCGCCCGCAGCAGCACGGAGGCTGAGGTCTGTCCGGGGCGGCACACGCCACGAACCTCATCCCAACTCCACAATCCGCCCCCGTCCGGCACTGCACCTGCACCGCGCCCTCCGCCCCGCCCTCTGCCCTCCGCCCCACACTGCGCCCTCCGCCCTGCCCTCTAACCTCTGCCCTGCACTGCACCCTGCCCTCCGACCTCCGCCTGGCACTGTGCCCTCCGCCCCACTCTCCGCCCTGCACTGCATCCTGTCCTCTGCCCCACTCTCTGCTCTGCACTGCATCCTGTCCTGCATCCTGCCTTCTGCCCTCTGCCCCACACTGCGTCCTGCACTGCACCCTGCCCTCCGCCCTCCGTCTGGCACTGCGCCCTCTGCCCCACACTGCACCCTGCCCTCCGACCTCCGCCTGGCATTGTGCCCTCCGCCCTGCCCTCTGACCTCCGCTCTGCACTGCACCCTGCCCTCCGTCCTCCGCCTGGCACTGCGCCCTCCGCCCTGCCCTGTGCCCTGCCCTGCATCCTGCCCTCCATCCTGCACTGTATCCTGCCCTCCGCCCTGCACTGCATCCTACCCTCTGCTCAGCCCTCCGCCCTGCCCTCTGACCCGCACTGCGCCCTGTCCTCTGACTCCGCCTGGCATTGCGCCCTCCGCCCTGCACTGCACCCTGTGCCCTGCACTGCGCCCGCACTGAAGGCTGAAGGACTGGCCTCCCCATTCCCTGGAGCAGCTGAGCAGAACCCTCGGGGGAAGGTGTTACGGGCGAAGGAGTGGGGAGACAGCACATGAGCAGAGCCCACTGTCCGTCAGCAGCACGGTAAGTCACGCGTGTTCACGTGGTGAGACCGCACAGCAACGTGTGTGACACTTTTAGTTCCAGCAAAACCAGGCCAAAGCTCGCAGACAGGAATGCTGAGCACAAAAGCCACACGGAAGCTCCCCCAGAACGGGCACCACTGGCCGCGGGCGCCGCTCAGGCCGGGCCTCAGGGCGAGGGAGTGCCGGCGAGGCCCCCCGTGCACCCGGCGAGCTGCAGCCTCTCACGTGCGCAGGCGCCAGGGCAGCCCCCCCCCCCCCCCCCCCCGAGCAGGGGCCGGCCTTCGTGTCTATTTCTTCCTTCCAAGGGCCGCTGGCAGCCAGAGTTCATGTTTAACTCAGTAACAGCTGGCAACCTGCAACTTCGCAACTATTTATAGCCAGCGGTCTTCAACGAGAGTGCCAAGAGGGTGTTTTATATACAATGAACATGTGAAACGTCTGGCGGCAGGAGGCAGCCCTGGGCACTGGCCACTCTGTGACTCGGCCAAAGCCCGGCCTGGTCCCTGTTGTGGGCGTGTTGCGTGTTGTGAGTCACCTCATACAGCCGCCATGAGAAGTTAAATATACAGCCTGGCCGGTGCGGCTCAGTGGACAGAGCGCCGGCCTGTGGACTGAAGGGTCCCAGGCTCGATTCCCGGTCAGGGCATGTGCCCCGGTTGTGGGCTCCATCCCCAGTGCGGGGTGTGCAGGAGGCAGCCGATCCATGACACTCTCTCTCATCAGTGATGTTTCTAACTCTCCCTCTCGGAGATCAATAAAAATTAAACATTCAATACTTCAAAGAACCCCCAGGGCTGGAGGAGAGGGAACAGGAACTGGAGTCAGAGTCAGAGAAGCCCCAGCCGCCCTGCACCTGCTCACCTGAGCGGCCATCTTGATCAGAACCTCGTCCTCATGCCACTGGCCGGTGACGGCGTTGTACCTGCGGAAGCAGCACCGGTCACTGCGGCAGAGGCCTGGCACCCCTCCCTGCCCAGCGGCCCAGCCCCCAGGGTCCTCCATCCCTTCCGCACCAGGCGCCCCTGCACCGCCCCTCAGCTCACCCCGGGGCTGTGGGCAGGGCCCAGGGCTGCCGGTCCACTGGCGGGTGCGGTGGGTGCGGTAACGCACGGGTAAGTGACGGAGTAAGCGTCCTTTATAACCGGCCACCCGACACGTGTGCCCGGGACCTGCGGAGCAGCCCCGGCCTGGCCGGCGCTGTGGGCAGCCGCCCAGCAGAGGGGGGAGCGCTGGGGGCACGGCCAGCCTGTCCTTCCCAGGAGCCGCTCTCCACCACGCCCGTCTGCCCAGGCCTGCCCGGCCGCAGCGGGTGTGCCCGGGGAAAGTGCCTCGTGTGTGTGTCCGTCCGTCCGTCTCTATCTGACCCCTCGCCAGGCCCCGGCTCTTAGCTCCACAGAGGCGTCCGGGGGCGCAGCCGCCAGGACCCACCAGCCCGTGAGAATGGCCTCAGAGCTGACCTCCGGGGAGCAGAGGCCGGGGAAGGCTCAGCCCAGCTCACGCAGGGGTCAGCTCGGGGGCCACCCCGGGAACAGGACATCTGCCCCAAAGGTCCGGCTCACACCAGCTCTTTCCAAGTGGGGGACACGGGGGGAGGCCTCCAGCTCAGAACCCCTGGGGTCATGCTGACCACTTCCCAGCCAGGGAGGCGACGGCAGAGGCTTTGGCGAGGAAAGAGCAGTTTGGCGGGGCCCTGGTCTCAGGCCCTGCAAGGCTCTGGGACACGCAGCGCCGGCCCGGAGGTGGGTCTTGCTTTCCTGGGGCCTTCTCCCCCCACTCCCCCCAGGCCATGTCTCACCAGCCGCCACCACGCTGGCCTGGCGGGGCAGGAGCGGAGCTCACAGCCCCCCTGCAGGCCCCACAGCTGCCCGGGGCTGCGGGCACGGGGAGGTGGCTGTGGGCGGTGGAGGGGGTGCGGGCGGGCTCCGCTCTCTCGGAAGGTGAGAGGTGGGGAGGGCTCCCCCGCGTCTGCCTCCATGGGGCCCTGCTCCGTTCTCGGCACACGTGGCCGGGTTGAGGCTGAGCCCAGCACCAGCTTGTGGCATGTGACCAGGCCTGGCCAATCGGAGCAATGCGCCCTGGTACAATGACGGGCTCAGAGACGGGTATATAACCAAAGCCAGGCCACTGAGGTTCAAACGTGGAACTTTTGTTATTAAAAAGGTCAGAGTGGGACCACTGGGCCCTTGTGCTGCTGAGATAAGTGTCTGCCTGAGGTCAAAGCTGAAAGATCCTCAGAGCGCCTGGCGCCAGCCGTGCCTGAAGCCCACACAGGGCAAAGCACAGTAGGCTTACGGTCATTTGTATGGAAAACAATACGGCAATTTATAACAGCGCAGAATAAACTGTCTCACACACAGCTTACATCTAACTCTGGCCCTGCCTGTATCCGAACCAGGTGTTCCTTTTTATCCTTAAGCTGCTTGGACAGGCTCTGCTCCCACATCTGAAACGGACGGAGTTCTGGCTAAAGTGAAGGCACTGGGCTGACCTGACAGACCCCTCTCCCTGGGGCAGCGAGGGACTGTCATTCGGAGCTGGAGGGTCCTACCAGGCCACGGATGGCGGGCTCCAGGGCAGGTCCAAGAGCCTCTTAAATTCTGAGCGAAATTAACGTACGTGTGCCGCTTTCTGGATGGCCCCTCGGAGTCTCAGGGGGCCCCGGGGCTCGGCACGCCTCCTGCCCAGGCTTCCCGGTGCCAGAGCAGACGCGGCGCTGGGCACAGCCTGGCAGGAGGACCCCGTACAGCCATCACTGGCCTCTGTGCCCTCACACATTCACGGTGGTGGCGTGGTTTTGGTTTGCTTTTCACTCTTCCTGAGAAAGCTCTCCCTCCCTCTGCTTTCCAGCAGGAACCAGACCCGCTGGGGTCTGAGGGTCCCCCCTCTCCGTGGCCTGCAGGAGACGCGGTCTCACGGAGCAGAGCGGCCCCGGACCCCAGGCCCCGAGGCCGGGCCACGCCGCACCCGGGCGCTGACCTGTGACGTGTGGCGCACTCGGAGGCGATGTCCTCCAGGTGGAACTCCGCCCACGGGTCGGGCATGTGCTTGGCCTTCTCGATGGCATGCTTCCACGCCTCCTGCAGAGGCAAAGGGGCATCAGCCCAGGGGCTTCTGGGACGGGGGCCAGCCCCCACCAGCCCGGCTCCCGGGTCCCCGCCTCCAGGGAGGCGTCCGTGAGAGAGGAGCACGCACCCGTCCCTGTGACATAATTTAATTTTAACGTCCTGTCAGGTGCAGGGACAGGGGGTGCAGGATGGGGGGTGCGGGTACAGGGGGTGCGGGGACAGGGGGTACGGGCTGGCACAGCTGTGAGCTCTCAGGGTGACCTGTGACGCAGGAAACGGGAAATGCACCGTGTTCCCTCCGTTCTCCGACCCAGGACCGTGCCCGCAGGAAGCAGACGCAGTGCAAACCTGCCCGAGAGGCACGTGGTGGCTGTGGCTGTGGCCTCGCCGGTGTTACCCGTTTTAATGCACCGTTTACCACCCTGAACCCCAGTCCGAGAGCGTGGCCCCTCGGCTCAGAGCACCTGAGCCATAGCAGGCCGACATCGGGCGCCCGGCCGCGGTGCCCCGCCGAGGCTGTGATGACTACCATCGTCCCAAACGCTCAGGCTGCGAGGCCCGGCTCTCCGGGACCCACTCAGAGCCGGCGAAGCCACGTGATGAAAACGGAGAGAGTTCTCTCCACTGGCTTGTGGTTCAGCCCCATTTTTTGTTATAAAACCTCATTTTATGGCTTTTACATAACCTCAACGTGGACCCCTGCCCCGCCCCCACCAACCAGCACTCCAGACACCCACACTCGGTGATCCTCTCCCTCTTCCCGAGCAACTGGAACTTCACCCGCGTCTGAGACAGTGCCTGTCCAGGCTCCAGACCTCCTCACCCCACACCATCCCTCAGCCACGCAGACCGGCCTGCAGAGCCCAGCCTCCCAAGGACGTGGCCCCAACAGGACAGACCCCACCCGCCCCCGCCCCACCTCTGGTCCTGCTCCGGGGAGACAGGGCCGAGGAGCTGAGCCTTCCAAGAGACAGACAGAGACAGCTGCATACATGCGCGCTTGTGCACATACATGCACACGCAGGCAGCCCAGGGCTCCTTGCTGGGACTTTCTAACATTTCCAAAGTCAAAAAATAAAGCCTGTAATTTTTTAATTTTAATTTGGAAACTAATTCACATTTAATCAAAATACTTGGTAAAAAAAAGGGGGGGGGGGGGACTAAAACAGAAAAAATGGAAAACAAGCTTGCCACAACTATCATCACTGGTTTAGACTAACCAGTTCTTTCCAGATCCTGTCCATGCATTAAAAAAAGTAAAAGTTCTTATTGATTTCTAGAGAGGAGAGAAGAAGAGAAACATCGATGATAGAGACAACATGATTGGCTTCTCCTGCACACTCCCTCTGGGGACTGAGGCAGAAACTGGGCATGTGCCCTGACTGGGAATTGAACCAGTGACCTCCTGGTGCATGGATCAAGGCTCAACCACTGAGCCATACTGGCCAGCCCCGTGCATTTTTAAAATAAGACTGGAGCCAAAACCGGTGTTGCTCAGTGGATAGAGCCTCAACCTGGCAAATTGAAGGGTCCCTGGCTCGATTCTGGTCCAGGGCATGTACCTTAGTTGTGGGAGATGTGCAGTTGGTAGCTGATTGATATTTCTCTCATCCATGATTCTAAATCTCTCCCTCCCTTCCTCTCTGTAAAAAATCAATAAAATATGTTAAAAAATAAAATAAAATAACACTGGAATGACACTGTCAGTATAACTCACAGCATTTCAGGAGCATGGGCCTATGGGCCTGGGGACTTTTATTTAGCGATCTGTGTTCTTTCCTGACTCCACTGTGCCCGTTAGATACGTAAGACACTGAGCACCATGGAGCTCCGCGGGAGGATGCGGAAGTGCTCTCACCCTGTCCGTCCCCGCAGCCACGCGCCGGCACACGCACACGCACACGCGTGCGGAGTCTGAGAGCCTGCAGGCGCACCGGGGCTGGCTGTGTCCTCCGTGCCACACGGACACTGGGCTGGCCGCCCTCCCTCCCGGTGGTGGAGGTGCTAAGGGTGAGTGCCTCGAGGGGCTCCTCCCTCGCTCCGGGAGTCGGGCCTCCCAGCACGTCCTCATACTGACACGTGTGGGCGTGCAGGAGCTCAGGAGGACACGCCCGCGGAAGTGTGACCGCTGAACCACGTTTGAGTTTACAATTTGAAGCTTTCCTCCCAAAGGTCCTCAGTCGTACCTCAAGAGACAGTGAACATATTGCTTAGACGTGTTAACGCCAGCGTGACTGAATTTACGAGGCAGCTGGCTTACTGACCACGGTGTGGGTCTGACTCACCACAGGCAGACCCTGAGCCCTCCCGCTTTTCCTGCTACCAATGCCCTGCAGCTGCATGTTTCCACCAGGGGAGCTTCTGAGCTTCTGTTCCTGACAGAGGGCCCCTGCTCGCTTGGCCTCCAGCCCCGCCTGCCGGGGGCCTGCAGGTGCCAGCAGCCTGCCGGCTCCTTCTGAGCGGGCCCGTCCTGTGCCTAACACAGCTCTCCAACCACACCCTCTCAACGGGGGGCTCAGAAGCTCCCCAAAACACCAAAGACAGGGCCCCACATTCGATTACGAGGACCACGGGAATCACCTCCTGGCTGGAGGCTGTGGCAACCACCAAAGCCAGTCACAGAGAAAAGAATTTCAGAATCAGAGTACTTTATAGCATGAAACTTACCTTTTCCACAAAACCCGGAAAAGACACATGCCATTGTTGGCAAAAGACGGGTTTAATGCAATTGCAGTTTTTAAAAACACAGAATGAAAAATGAAAAATGCAGAACCATGTCTCTACTCAGACATGGTTCCCTTCACTGATGGCTGATGGAAGAGCCATTTCCTGTTTACAAACGACAACAGAGAATGCTTGACTAGCAGCAGTCAACTGTTCCTGCCCAAACCCGGGTGCGGGCATTCCCAGCAGAAACCGCGGCTCCAAGGTCACAGTGCTCGCTGAGGTCACATGCCCGCTGAGGTCATATGCTCGCTGAGGTCACGTGCTTGCTGAGGTCACGGCTCTCGCTGAGGTCACGGCGCTCACTGAGGTCACGTGCCCGCTGAGGCCATGGAGCCGAGAATTCCCACGGCTTCAGGCACAGCTCTGTGCCTTCGTAGCCTCAATGACCTGAGGGACTAAGGTGCTCCCTGATGTGGTTACTCTAGTTTCACTGTCACTTTAGAATGCACTCTTTCTACTCATAAAGCACACCTCCTGTTCACCGCGTCCCTCTCTCATGCTCGGTGTGATCTGGTGCTGCTCTGTAAGTCCGGCCTCTGCACAGCGCTCACAGTCTGCACTGACGTCACTCCTTCCCCTCACCGCCGCCCTGGGGGGCACCACCTGCAGTATCAGCACCAGGCGCGGGCACACAGCGCGGGCACACAGCGCAGCACAGGCTCCGCCTCAGCCGGGCATGCAGCACGCTGTCCCGTCCCGGGTGAGGCCTCCATGGTGTTCACACCCCGATGAGACTGCCTAACGAGCACTTCCCAGGACGCACCCTGTCGTTAAACCGTGCGTGGCCGCACTTGCACCAGCTGTTAAAGATCAAGGTGCTGACACGGGCAATCTCTAGAGCTTATTGCTTAGGGAAAAAGCTGCTACATAATGCAACTTAACCCCATTTATTATTGGTGGCAGAAACCCATAAGTTGCTATCATAGATTTCTAGGGGTATGTCAGCAAATCTATATATATAAAAGCCTAAGTGACGGAATGACCGGTTGCTATGACATGCACTGACCACCAGGGGGCAGGTGCTCAGCACAGGAGCTTCCCCCCTGGTGGTCAGTGTGCTCCCACAGCCAACTGGCTGGCAACCTTCTGCTGTTCCTCACCAAGGTCAGCTGGCCCCACCCTCCCCATCAGCCCTGGTCGCCAGCCAGGCCAAGGGACCCCACCTATGCATGAATACATGAATTCTCGCACATGGTCTCTATTCTCCTATCTAATAAAAGAGTAATATGCAAATTGACCGTCATTCAAACTCACAAGCTGGCCACCTCCATGTGGTCAAAGATGGCTGCCACAAGATGGCCAGCATGGGTGGGCAGTTGTAGGTGATCAGGCCAGCAGGGGAGGGCAGTTGGGGGGGGGACCCAGGCTTGTAGGGGAGGGCAGTTAGGGGTGACCAAGCCAACAGGAGAGGGCAGTTGGGGGCAACCAGGCCTGCAGGGGAGGATAATTAGGGGCGGCCAGGCTGGCATGGGGGGCAGTCAGGGGTGACCAGGCTGGTGGAGGGGTAGTTGGGGGTGATCAGGCTGGCAGGCAGAGTGGTTAGGGGCAATCAAGCAGTCAGGCAGGCAGGCAAGCAGTTGGAAGCCAGGAGTCCTGGATTGTGAGAAGGATGTCTGACTGCCCATTTAGGCCCAACTCTGTGGACATCCCTGGAGGGGTCCCAGATTGGAGAGGGTGCAGGCTGGGCTGAGGGACAAATTTTGTGCCCCAGGTCCCTAGTATATACATAAAAGGCTATTTAGATATAAATGCATTTAAAAAGGCCTGAAAGTGACTTACACCGAACAGATACAACGATTCTCTCTGGGAGCAGAGGATGGGAGGTGCATGAGGAGACCATTCTGCACTGTATGTGTTCGGCTTTAAGAATGTCTTAGGGGTTGCACAGGCAAACCAAAACCCACAAAGGCCTCTGGGTAATGTCTCTCCAGGCCCTGCCGGCTCCAACAGTCTCCAGTTCTGACAATCTCACCTGGCTGTGACGGGCGAATGGCCCTCGCACAGGCCGGGGACTCGGGGTTCAGGACAAGGAGAGCAGAACCTGCCCGGAGAACACAGAATAGAAACGTGACAGAGAGCCGGCACCGGTTTGGCTCAGTGGTAGAGCGTCGGTCTGCGGACTGAAAGGTCCCGGGTTCGATTCCGGTCAAGGGCATGTACCTTGGTTGCGGGCACATCCCCAATAGGGGGTGTGCAAGAGGCAGCTGGTCGATGATTCTCTCTCATCGACGTTTCTAGCTCTCTATCCCTCTCTCTTCCTCTCTGTGAAAAATCAATAAAAATAT